CCTGGGAGCAGCAGGCTTGGGGGGAGCCACACCGCCTGGCGTCCCGTCCCCGTCCCCGAGCGGCTGTCACCTCATTATTGTGGCCCTCAGGGGGCGTCACCCCTACTTACCGCCCGGGCCTCGGAACGCCCCCACCCAGGGACCCTCAGGACTCTTCACACCGCGGAGAGTTGCTTCGCTCTCAGTTTCCTGCAGAGCGTCTGGGCCCCGAGTGTGTGACGCGGTTTCCTCAACGTGTGGAACCAAGGCAGGCGCCGTCCCGAGCAGCGAAGCAGCTGCCGTCGCGTCCCGTCGCCTCGCTCTGTCTACAAGATGTTAAGTGCCGGCCGCGCTGCGTTCCCTGCTAATTAACACACTTGGAATCGATGTCTTCGCTGCTCGTCCGTCAACGCGGCCCCAGGGCTTGGGTGGCCCACGTCATTTCTTGTGACTTCAGGGAAATCGCCGTGCGCTCACCCAGGGGATACGATTTCTGTGTCCTGTTTCATTCACGCTTGTGTTCTGAGCCTGACATTAATTAAGGTGTCGAAATAGCTTTCATCGTTCACGCTGCACCTCTTGCCTTCAAAGTTGGGGTTCCCCCTTGCCCAGGCTCTCGGGTGGACGTTCTCGCGCTTGATTGCTGTAATTCCTTTTGTGCAGTTATCTTTGAAGTCCTAATTACAAGAGTGCAATGGATTTAAGTGTCGCTGTTACATTCAAATAGAACTTGATGCCTGCCGCTCGAGATATATTTTGTCTTGATTACATATTTGTGCTTTATATGGTGGAAGGCTAATTTTTAAATTTCCTTTCTGGCTGCAAATGACTTCCGAGGACTGAATTCAGAAATGCTGTCCAGCCTCACAGGTGTCGGCGGGTAACCAGGCCTGTGTTTAAAGTATCATTCACAGTTGAGATCACTTCGAGTCCCCTACAAGTGTGGGTGGGGCAGCGGTTTATGCGCCTCAGTCACATTAGCTGGTCACAATGAGGAAAGTGTGTTTCTCCAAAATCTGTCTCAGGAGATTTGCTGACCCAGCCCCCTGCAGACCGAGGCAAGTCTGCTGGCCAGCTCAGTGGCTTTCCCATCATGACAGGGTCAGAAGGGCGGGGGGGGGGGACAGATACAGGGGTCGCACAAGGTCTGGAATGCTGACGAGCTGCCCGTCCCTACGGTCACGTCAGCTGCAGCAACTTCAAGCAGAGAAACTGGGTTTTAATTGCAGTTTAGCTACGTGGCTATTGGGGAAGTCTGGGTCGTTGAAATGTGGCTGGTGGCTGTGCTGTTGGGCGGTGCAGTCTCGCTTGGGGCCTTGTGCTGGTGAAGGGGACAGATCGGTGAGTTTGGGCAGTGTCCCCACACACACACACACAGCTGCAGCTGCAGCCTCTTCCCACTTGCCTGCCCGTCAGCACCTTTGATTAGGGGCTCTGAGCTGTTCCCTCCAGAAGGGCCCCAGTGATTTCAACTTGATCCCAGATACACAGAGAATGTCCCAGGTGCACGGGGAAGGCCCCAGATCCACAGGGAAGGTGCCAGACACACAGGAAGTCCTGGGTGCATGGGAGGCCCACCTCGCCCAGGCCCCGCTGCTCTCACAGGGAAGAACTAACTCAGCTGCTCGAACATGCTTGCAGCACCTTGATGTCCAGTTCCACACAGTTTGTGCAGAAACCTCCCTGACATGTGCTGTGCATGCGGCCCCGTCCGTGTTAGACAGTGGAAGGGACCAGGCCACCGCAAAAGTCTGAGCTGGTGCGGGTTTGCCTGAGGGAGGGGGCACTTTCTGAGTGGCTCCCGCCCATCGGCGGCTCCCTCCGGTTGTCTGGTCAGAGACGAAAGCCCCCCCCCCCCCAGCTCACTCAGCAACTGTGTTTGCAAACACAGGTGGGTTTTCTCCTCCCTCCCGGGAAGTGGGGTGCTGCCGGGGAGCCACAGGGGTCTTCATCGTGTCACAGAGAAGAAACCAGTGGTAGGTGGTATTCACACCTGGACTCAGAGATAAAAATAATAAAAATAAAAATAGAGTAGTCAGGACCTTAGCTGCCTGAAGATAACTAAGTAATCATTTAATGTGATGTTTAGCAATCTCTCTATTGATTCGTCTGCTTGTGGAGGATGTACACACGCCAGTAGAATCCCATCACTAAATTAAATTTAGATTTTCTGTTTGCATCTCATGTGTGCCCGTCACCCGTGTAGAAAATGGTGTGCCACAGCCTGTAACTGATAAGCTTAGTGCGGATGAGTTTATTTCCAAGCTGTGTGCTCACAGACACAGAAGAAAGGCAATTGTTTTTGCCCAGACTGTTCAACTGGATGATGGAACGTTTTTCGTGAATGGGTAAAATGATTCTTAAAAATTGTGTATCTTAATCCATGGCAGCAAATTAACGTGATCAAAGATAATTTTAAATCCCTTTTGCACTACTTTCCTGGCTTCTAACCCTCCCCGGGTGAGCCGTGCAGGGGGCTCGGGGGGCGCCGGCCACCACGCGGCGCTTCGGCTTCTAAAGGGCCTTGCCTCCCTGTGGCGTCCCCCCAGATGTTCCAGGTGCTGCGATTGCTGCTTGCTCAGGGGGGACACCGGAGACTTAATTTTCAAATTAGGAAACCGGAGACGTTCACTTCGCCAGGAAAATGAGACCCACGTGTCTCGGTGCCACGGCAGGCCCGCTGAGAGCACATGCGGGACCGTGTCCCACGCACGTCAGGCCCTGAGTGAGCGTCACGGGAGCAGGCAAACCGTGCAACACGCCCGCCTTGCACCCCCCGAGACGAGCCCCTGCTCGGGTCACACGCCACGGGCAAGGGCAGGCCTGGCGCCGGGCGCCCGGAAGTGCTGTGCGTCTCTAGACCCGTTCCTGTAACTTGTTTGAAGTGCATCGCGCTCTGGCGTGGGGTGTCGGCCATCTGTTTGTGTTAAACCCCGTGTTCGCTCGTGCCTGGGCCCTTACAGGCGGAACCACAGGGACAAGCGATGGGAATTCTCAGGGACCTGAAAAGGTCCCTCCAGGGCGCCTATTCCAGCCCCAAGAGGTTGGCGACCTGGGTGCTGTGGTGGGAGACGGTCCCCAGGGCTCGCTGCTAAACACCCTAAACGTCTTTGAGAAGACGAGGGCTGGGAGAGGCGCCCCCTCCACCGCCCACGCGCAGGGAAACACGGTGCTCATCACGGTGACGGGACAGGCCACGGCTTCTGGGGCGGTGGGGAGTCGACCGTGTAAAAATAACACCGTGGCGGGCGCTGGGAGGGCGCTGGTCCACGTGAGCGGTCTCCAAGAAGACCCTGTAGGAAAAAGGATACTCCTCGCATTCGTTCAAGAATCACTGCCCTTCACGCCGAGCACCGGAGGAGACTTCACGGGTCTGCTCCAGGCTGCGCCCCGTCTCCGCCGCCCCAACTCCGCGGCCGCTTCCTCGCCCCCTTCTGTCCAGGAGGCCGGACGGCCTGCTGAGCGGGATGGCGGGGACACGCCACCCTCTTGGGCCGAGAGGGACGAGAGCCACCCCTGCGTCTCCGACCCTCCGCAATAACGCCCGAATGCAGGCCGCACCCAGCCGTTTCCCCGTCGAGGGCGAATCGCCGACTCGCATCCGGGGAGAAAGTGTTTTCAGGCAGCAGGCCGCTCTCCGGGTCCCCTGCGCCCGTGCCCGGCCTGCTCCCGGTTCCTACCCGTCGGGGCCCCTGCGTCCGTCTTCCCGGGCCCTTCTCCTGCCTTCAGCTCAGGGCGTCCTGTCCGGACGGGACGGCCTCACTCTGTTTGTTCGCCGAAGCTCGTCTGAATTTCCACTAGAGACGTGCACTCTCGCGGGTTAGAGAACGACCGCAGGCCCCGGGGCAGGTCAAGTTCCCGCGGGCAGAAGGCGGCGTGACGGCTGCGCCCGCGCGGTGGCGAGACGGAGACCGGAGACCGACTCAGGCGGGCTGGTGCGCACGCGCGTCCGCTCTGCGCGGGGACCGGGGCCCCCCCAGGAGCACGTGCGCGCGCTGCTCTCCCTCCCCGGGAGCAGGGAACCTCCAGCCGCTCCGGGGAGTGACACGGAGTTCTGGGGGCGGTGCCTCCTCGCGGTAGCAGCAGGAAACAGCCCGAGCCCGGCAAGCGGTTCCAGTGAATCCCGGGAGCTGCTAAGGGATTGTGATGCGATCTCATCTCCCAAAGTATCTGTTCTGGCGGATCCACTGCACAGGTGGCCAGGAGAGACGTGCGCGGGGCGGGGCTAGGGGCGTGCCTGCTGGGGGCGGTGCTAGGAGCCAGGCTGCCGGGGGGCGGTGCTAGGGGTGTGGCTTGTGGGGGCGGGGCTAGGAGCGTGGCTGCCAGGGGCGGGGCTAGGAGCGGGGCTGATTGGGGCGGGGCCGGGGGCGGGGCTGCTGGGGGCGGGGCTAGGAGCGGGGCTGCCGGGGGCGGGGCTAGGGGGAGCGTGTGTACCTATGGGCATGAAAGCCCAGACACGTGGGCGGGATAGGTTGGGGACCCCGTGCCCCTCCTCGGTGGACTCTACATTCATACCCATTGGGGAGCAAGGAGGCTCTGATGTCGCACGTGTTCTCCATCGTAAAAACACATACTCATTAAGCATTTTTGGGCGACACCAAGGAGTTGAAAACAGCCGGTCACGTTGTCCCACTGCAGTGACCGTGGTGGGCGGGTTTGGGCGCCTCTAAGGTTCTTCAGCAACGGATTCTGCACTGGTTCAGAATAGTTTAGTATGTCCTGCTTGTCCTGATGTCATAAAACGAGCGTCTCCCCGTGAGGCTGTGACGTGCGTGAAAATGACGACGTGGTCACCTTGTGCTGACTCAGAAGCCACCTTAACGCCGTGGCCGCTGCTGGGTTTCTGGGCGTATGCACAACGTTTCGCTGCCGAGAAACAGCCGCGAGGACACAGCACCGCCCCGTCTTGCGTCCTGTTCTCAGGCCGGACGCTGGGCCGCAGGCGCTGTCCACCGACCTCCACGCGGGGGGAGGCGGGGGAGCGTGTTTGTACTGATGCGGCACTTGCGTGTCTCTTGCAGCTGTCTCGTACACGAACTACAAGAAAACACCGCCGCCCGTGCCCCCTCGGACCACCTCCAAGCCCCTGATCTCGGTGACCGCGCAGAGCAGCACGGAGTCCACGCAGGACGCCTACCAGGACGGCCGCGCCCAGAGGGTGTCCCCGTGGCCCCAGGACGGCCGGGGCCTCTACAACTCCACGGACAGTCTGGACAGCAACAAGGCCATGAACCTGGCCCTGGAGACGGCTGCCGCCCAGCGCCTCGCCGACGGCCTGGGGCGGGCCAGCGACAAGGCGGAGGACTTCCTCCGGAGCCGGCGCGCTTCCATCGGGATCCAGGTAGCTTCCCTCTGCCGCGGGAGCGCGCATAGCGTCCACGCAGACACCGCGCCTGGTTCAAGGCGGAGCTGGAGGAGGGCGTGTCCCCACCCCTGTCCCCGCCCCCTGGGCGTCCTGCCAGTGCAGGGTGACTCCGCCCTGTCCCTCACCTGCCCTGCTGCCTGGAGACCCCCTCCCCTGGCTCCCCTCCCCCACCCAGGGCATTGTCTAGGGACCACAGACTGCTTAGAGCGCAAGGAATTAGGTTATTCTGATGCACAAGGAGGAATTTTTTGTTGAAGTGATTTTTCAAAGCCTCTCAGTTTTTTCGGCCCCACAGCTGCATGGGGGGAGGGGGGCTCTGGGGACACACAGGCAGAGAGGACACGGCGCCTCCGGTTTCCACCCAGGCCAGTGCGACAGCCATCCACACGCAGGCCACCCAGGATGCCTCTTGCAGACCCAGGACGCCTAACGCCTGCCAGGGACACCAGACCTGGCAGCTCCCCCTGTGCGTCCTTTGGGGTGCATAGGACGCTCGCCCTGACAAAACCGCCTGCTCTCTCTCGGGGACTGTCCCCTACCACACCTGAGCCGTGGGGAGCAGCGATGGCATCGAGCCCTTTGCAGACAGACAGGGTCCCCTTCACTCCCCAATCAGCCTGTGTGCAGCAGAGATTTTTACAGCTGGGGCCTTGCTGCCGCTGGGGAGGAGGAGGGCGCGGAGCTGTGGCCCCAGGGACCCAGGGACACGCTGGCACCGGGGACGGGGAGCGAGCTGCCCGGTGCCGCGAGCCGGGCCCCACACTGTGGTTCGTTGTTTTGTTTAGGACTCTGAGTTCCCAGAGCGCCCGCCCTACCCAAGGTCAGATGTAAGTACCAACGCTCACGGCCCCGCTCCCGTGGCTTTTATCTCTCCACCCCTTGTCTGGACCCCACACAGCCGCTCCTGCCCCCTCTCTGTCCGGACGCTAGATGCCAGGCACTGTGCTGGGAGCCTCGTTCGTGCAGGGAGCCCTGCCCCCCCATGTGTCCTCGGCCCGTTCACGAGGACAGACAGGCTCACCCAGCCCAGTCACGTGCTGCAGCCACGGCGAGGCCAGCGGGAGCGCCAGGGGCCTGCCCACTCTGAGTCACGTCTCCAGAGAAGACTCATGAGGTCCCCAAATTCACCAGGTGGCGTCCCATCCCTGGGCGCTCCTGCACCCTGGCTCTTCCCACCAGCCACCCTGCCCGCTGTCTCCCACTGTCCACCACCCACCAAGAAGGGTAGTGTCAGCTTCCGAACACGGAGTTCCTGTTTTATCTGGAAGTCTCGGGCACACGTCTCAGAAACCCATGACCTCAGGTCACCCGGCTGCCGCCCCGCCCCCATGTCACCTGGAGCCCCTGACGCCTCTCCTTGCCCGGAGCCCCCCGCCCCTGCTTCCCCGCTCACACACAGTTCACACGTCCACTCTCCCCAGAGGCCGGTCTGGACGCTGTGCCCCCAGACGCGTGTCCCTGGGCAACCAGCCCCAGCACAGTGCCTGGCACGCAGCAGGTGCTCTGTCAATGTTGGGCGTGTGAGTGGACGCCGAGTGGATGCCGAGTGGACGCTGAGGGGTTGGTGAAGGCAGGGAGGAGTGTGCCGACGGGCGTGCACGTGTGTGGTGGACGGGACTGTCCTTTGCAGCAGCAGGAAGAGCGCGCGGTCCCGTGTGAGCGTGTAAGGCAGCGGTGGGCAGACTCCAGCGCACTGCACAGGCGAGTGTGAACGCTGTCACGTTGGGACGAGGAGAGGGCCCAGGCCAAAGAGCAGGGGGCGTGGGAGCCACTCAGAGAGCAGAGGGCGGAGCCGGAGGGAAAGGCAGCGCAGCCGCCGAAAAAGGCTGCCGTGGGGCGGAGAAGGTGGCAGGGGCGGGGGGGCGTCAGCACCATCAGCCCCAAGTCCGCGTCCCGATGACAGCAGTGAGCAGACGGCAGGCGGTGACACGCCGCTGTGCCCACCCCCGCCACGCCCACTCCTCCCGTAACCCCACGTGCCGGGCGTCATCACGGGGAAACTGAGGTCAGGGGTAAGTGGCTCGCCTCCACGCTCGCGGCGTCCAGGCCAGGATGGCAGCCGGGCAGGTGGAACCCCGCGGCCCGAGGACGGGAAGTGGAGGCAGGGCGGTGCGGGGTCCTGCGTGCCCGTCCCCGGGACGTCGCTCAGCCTTGCGGCTGGTGGAGAGGTTCTGCCGGCATTCGACGTGCTTGGCCAGGCAGGCAAGCTCCCCGCCCCTCCCCAGACGCAGCCCCCAGGGCACGGCCGCGCCGGGCTGGGGCAGTCAGCACCCCTCCCACCGTGGGCTGCGGCTCACACCGCTGTTCGCAGGCCCTTCAGCGTGCGGGGCCTGACGCCCGGGGTGTCCGTGTACCGTGGGGCCCTCCTCCGGCTCCGGGTCCGAGGGTCTTGGCTGCTGGGCCCTTTCTAACGAGTGGCAGCCAGAGCCGGTCGTCCTCCCAACCCCCTGCCTGCCTGCCTGCCCTTCCTCACGCCCGTCGTGACGCTCACTGCTTTCTTTGTGTTGGACTTCGTTGTCGTGTGTGGTTTGTTTTTGCAGAGCTGCTACATGTGTGTGTGTGTGCGTGTGTGTGTGTGGGGGGGGAAGCCTTGGGTCTAATAATGTCCAGGAGTCCTTCAGGGCCGTGTGCCTCGGTCCCCGTCATCACAACGGGAGTGGCCCCACTCTGCGCTCCCGTAGGGTACAGGGGTGCGTGGTGGCGGCCTAGGAAAGCTGTGTCGTCGCTCTCTTCCAGAATGTCAGTTTACCCAAGAATCCGGCCGGAGCCAAGCCTGCCCCCAGTGTCACAGCCCCCCCCAGTGGGCGGAGCCGTGAGCCCCTCACGGCAGCTGGGCTGGGACACAGAGCAGGTCCCTGAGGAGGTGGGGACCTCTGTGTCCCACCTGCCTGGCTGCACACGCACTTGTGACGGCGGAGCGTGAGGTGCACTGGGCTCAGAGCACCCGTGCTGCGGCCAGCATGCTGGGCGAGGCAGTGTCCCTCACAGGGCCCCGGGGGCAGCACCTGCAGAGGCAGTGGGTTTGCCGGCCCTCCTCTCTTCCCTGCGTCCGGAACGCGGTGGGTCTCGTAAAAACAAAGATAGCATCGGGATAGCCCTGCAGTGGAAGCCTCTCCCGTGGGTCCGAATCCGTGGCCATCTCTGGAGACTAGGACCCTAACGGCTCCATCAGTGAGGCAGGTGCCCTGAGCCCCCAGAGTAAACATCAGTGCCCTCCCCACCGCCAGCACCTCTCCAACGGTCAGCGCTCTGGCCGACCCGCCCGTGTCCTGAGTCCGTCCGGCGTGATGGACGTCGGGCACCCACCCAAAGCACAGAGCGGTAGCCCAAGGCAGGGATGTGCTCGGGGAGCTGAGCATGCACGCAAGCGTGTCCCCGCCGCGGCAGCGTGGTGGCAGGAGGCCAGCAGTGGCCCGGTCACCCCTCCACGGCAGCCGTGGACTCAGTCGGGCCCTTCCCGTGAGCTGGAGCCGCACGCAGTGCAGCCGCAGCAACAGCTCCACTCACGCTGGCCTGGGCACCACCCCGGGCCCCTGGGACTTGACCGCAGTCCCCTGTGTAAAGTGATGTGAACAGCAACCGCCACACCCCGTGTGGGGAAGAAATAATGCTCTTTAAAGCCACGGTCCGCCTAAAACTGAAAAGAGGAACGGGCACTGACAGCGGGTGAGGGTTTCCCCCCGGGGCGTCCTTCCTGTGCCAGCCGCGGGCATGCTGCAGACCAGGTGTGACCTCCCTGCCGCTTTTGGAGCTACGCCAACAAACGTGGGGTGCACCCGGCCCTCCCCCACAGCTCTGGTCTCGGGCCAGAGAGGTCGGGGCGGAAGTCCAGGCCCCGCCCCCGCCATGCTGCACTCCCCGAGCCAGTCCTCCTCCCCTGTTCTGACCCCTCCGCTGGTCAGTGCGACCAGGAACCACACAGCAGGCTGTCATGTGGACTGCGTGTGTACCGTGCTGCTCACACAGCTCCTGGCGTGTGGCTGGCACGAAATGAACACCAGTCCTCAGGGTCCCCACTCACATGGGCCACGAGGGAGTGCGCCCTCCCGGAAGGCCGGGGCGTGGCCTCGGGCCGTGGTGGATTTCTGCCACGGCTCAAGGAAGACGGCGTCCCAGTGGGGAGATGCGCTGGCCAGTGCGGCTGCAGGGAGGGTTCTGTGCCGGCGCGCGGTCTCCGCCCTGGTCTGCGTCCCCCTGCCGGGCAGGGCCCTCCGGCGACGGGACGCGGCCACGTGCAGGACAGACGGACGCCTGCCTCTGCGCTCCCTGCCCCCGGGGCCGGCACGTCTCTGCGTCAGTTAAACAAACGCGCAGCTAATCGCAGCAAGTGAACACGCACACGCACAGACAATCCCGTGCCCAGGTCGCGAGTCTCGGCCCTAACACGGGATGTTCTGTGTCGAACCAGGTGGAAACCGCGACCGACTCCGACACGGAGAGCCGGGGCCTGCGGGAGTACCACTCCGTCGGCGTGCAGGTGGAAGACGAGAAGCGGTAACTCCCCCCCGCCTGCCCCTGCCCCACCCCCCCACGCGCCGTGCGCTGCTTCCCGCCAGGAGCGGGCAGGTGGCCGCAGCCCGGCCACCAGCTGCAGCGCGGGCTGACCCTCGGCGACCCATGCCGTCTGCGGCATCGGTGTGCAGGGCCCAGCACAAACAACGCCCCTCTCTTATTACAAAGCCCTCTACCAGGAACTCCTGAGTGTGTGGTTCTGTCACAACGGTCTCACACTCAAGCACGCTCTGTGACGTTTTAGGTGAGGTGTTCAGAGCAAAGTTGTACATTATTGGGCCCGTACTGTGGCCCTGCCAACCCCACTCAGGGGGGCCTTGCTTCTGCCGGACCCTGTGTGTGCACCCCCCAGTCCCGCATTCGGGGGCGAGTTAACACCCGCCGGGTCCCGTTCCGGCCAGAGGCAGGGGAGGGACACTTGGTGAAGCAATTCAGCCTTGGGGACAGACAGGCTGGCAGCCCGGGTCTCGTCCCTCAGCCGAGGGGGAGCAGGCTGAGGGGCAGCATACACCTGCTTTCTCCCCGAGCGAGGGCAGAGGAAAAGGGAACCACAGCGGCGGGCTGAGGGAGGCAGGCGACCCGGCCGTGCTGCGCTGGCTCCCGCGAGAGCACACCCTCCAGCCGCAGGACCCAGGGGCGCCGTGCCCCTGGTGTTACTTTCATGACAAGCACAGGGGCGTTGCTCGGTTTCACGTTTAGAATAGTGCATCTGGTACGTTTTAGGAAGACCCGTTTTAGTCCCCCTTGCCCCTGGACGCCGCTGGACCTCCCGCCCCGTCTCGCCAGCCAGGCCCTGGGCCGCGTGGCCGGCGGGGCAGGGTTTCCGGGTCCAGCCTGGGAAGGCTTGGGCCACAGGGAGTCCAGACTGTGAGCTGATGGTGCAGGTCCCCAGCAGAGCTCTTGGAGCCGAGGTCCTCTGCCCCCCGGGGGCCCACCAGCCTGAGCTTCCTGCCCCGCCGGCCGGGTGTGCCCAGGCCCTTTGCCCCCCATGCAAGTTTCCCTTCCCCGGGGGGTTGACGGCCGGCAGCCGCGGCGCCGCTGGAAGTGCAGACGCACAGACCCTCCCCCTCGGCGTCTGCGCTCCGTGCTGCCCCCCCCCCGGCTGACGGGCTCTGCACCGGTGCCGCCCCGGTGAAGTCCGAGTCCCGAGTCCACACTCCTGGTTGTGCAGAGCGGGCTGGGCGGGAAGACGCTTAGTGGTTCGGGTGGGAGACGCGAAGACCCTCGCGCCCTGAAACGGGGTGTGAAGTGGCCGAGGCTCAGCAGGCTGCAGTGCAGCCTCGTGCCCAGAGGGCGGGGGTGCCGCCGGGGAAACGCGCGTCCCTGGGCCTGGGCGCGGCACTGAGGCTGGGGCAGACGTGCGAGGTTACGCATTCGCAAAGCCCACCACCGCTCCCCCGCAGAGGGAACACCAGACGCTAGTGGCCGGGAAGCGCACTGACCTTGCCCTCGAGTGGGCGGACTCTGGGTGCCGGCACGCCGCCGGTGGGGCGCGGGCTGGGGGTGCCCCGTCTCACAAGGCCTCCCTGTCTCCTCCCCTCTTGCACAGGCGCGGGCGGTTCAAGCGCTCCAACAGCGTGACGGCGGGCGTGCAGGCGGACCTGGAGCTGGAGGGCTTCCCGGGGCACGTCCCCACGGAGGACAAGGGCCTGCAGTTCGGCTCGTCCTTCCAGCGGCACTCGGAGCCCAGCACCCCGACGCAGTACGGCGCAGTGCGCACGGTGCGCACGCAGGGCCTCTTCAGCTACCGGGAGGACTACCGGGCGCCGGCCGACACGACGACCCTGCCGGCGCCCGAGCCCTGGCTGGAGCCGGCCGTGGACGCGGGGGACGGCGGGCGGGTGTCGCCCTGCCGCAGGGACGGCTCCTGGTTCCTGAAGCTGCTGCACACGGAGACGCAGAGGATGGAGGGCTGGTGCAAGGAGATGGAGCGGGAGGCGGAGGACAACGACCTCGCGGAGGAAAGTAAGAGCGGGGCGGGGCGGGGCGCGCGCAGCCGCGGAGGTCTCCGCGGCGTACAGCCCGCACCGGTGCGCGCGGGGTTCCGGGCGCCAGTGCGCGCGGGGCAGGTACTGCCCGCTCCGTCTCGGCCGCGCTGCAGAAGTAGACGCGCGGAGGGCGGCGGCCGCGCACGCGCTGGGCCCGTGCGTGGTCCCGTCGGGTGCACGGGGGGGCGGGGGGGGGGCGGCTGGTCAGCGGCGCCGGCGGTGTTCCCGGTCGGGTCCCTGGTCTCAGAGGCCACGTGCCAGCTCTCGGTCCGGCAGCAGCTTGGCTGGGAGCCTTTCCCCCGTTTTCCGGCATCGCGTCTGGCTCGCGTTTGGCTTCACGCGGGGCAAAAGTGGGAGGCGAGAAGACGAGCCCGCAGCTTGCGGTCCGAGCGGTGATGCCGTGCCCTTGGCCGTCCAGCCTCGGGATGAGGGGGCTTCTGTGTGACCCCCTCCGGGGGGGACCCGACCTCTGTGCACGCGGGGACAGCGCCGCCGCTCCGCCTCCCGCGTCCCCGCAGCGCCCCTCTGTGGACCGCGGGTGAGGTCTGCACGCACCTGCGGTCTGTTTGCAGACAGGGTCCTTAATGAAACGCACTTTCTGGAAGGCGTTTCCGAAAGTCTTCCCCCGGCCATCGCGCCGTCCGTGTGTCCTTGTCCTTTCCTGTGAGTTCCTTCCTCCACGCTCCGTCCCTGGACATGGCCGCAGCTCAGAAGCGCAGCTGGAGTCCTTGGGGACCTAGCCCTGGCCTCACACCTCTCAGTGGCCGCCGCTGTGGAGCGTGTGGGAACCCCAGACGGGGGAGCGCCCCCACGAGGCGATGGCAGATGACGCCCGGAGAGCACAGGGCGGGCTCTGACGCCCGGGAACGATCGCCGCTGTGCCGGTGTTTTGTTGTGGGCCCTGCGGAGTCCGTCCAGGCAGAGCGCCCCGGGCGGCTCTCCCAGGCTCCCTCCCGGTCAGCTGCCCCCACCTGTAGGCCTGAGTGACCCTTGACCCGACCCCGGGGAAGCGCCGTCCCCCCAGGTGGCTGCACCGCAGGAGCCCACGGGCCAGGCCTCAGGAGCCCTGCCCCACTGGTCCGCGTGCACCGTCTGTGCGGGGCTCACGTCCTAATGTCTCAGAACCACTCGTCTCCCTGCCGCCGCGTTGTCTCACCTGTCAGCGTGCCCCTCAACCTGGCGGAATCATCTGACTGTAACAGGATGGATGATCTTCGTCACAGAGATAAAACACGAAAAACAGTGGCCTGTGTTCCCCGGAAACTGGAATAGACCAGTCCGCTGCAGGCACGCGTCCGAGACCGCGGCCCGAGGCTCCTCCGTGAGCTGCCTGGGAGGAGGCAGAGGTGCTTGACCCGCGGCGGCAGGTGCATTGGCAGGCCCCACCCCGGACCCCCCGGTGAAACGTCGGGGGCTCAGCCGTCCTCTCACCCCGAAAGCTCCAGGCTCCCCCGGACGTGCAGGAGGTCGGCGCGTCGCTCCTCGAGTGTTGGACTCAAGGCCACACTTGCCTTCACATCACTTCCCAGGGCAGAGCCGTCCGCAGGGAGTGGGAGCGGCTAAGTGTAGCAGGATGGCTGCAGAAAGTGCCGGAACATCGCGGACGTGCGAGAGAGGCTGGCGGCACGAGATTCCGACGAGGCCCCGTGGCGGAGGCGGCTCAGCGCTGCACCCCAGAGGGGGCCCCGAGGGACAGACGGGGCCAGAGCCCGGGGCCCCTGCTCTCTGAGAGGACGGACGTCACGGAGATGTGCACCCGCCCCTGCCTGTGGGCGGAGGCTGGGCACTGGCTGCTGGGCCCAATCCTGGGGACGCACGCTTCCCAAAGGACAGGGCGGCCTGTGTGCCCCTGGAGCTCTGCCCTCTGCTGTCACTCGAGGTCCTCGGCTGCCTGAACGAAGCCATCCCTTTGACAGGTTATCGCCCACCAGCAGTGCCGGGACCGGGTGCGGCCCGAGGTCCCTGCCGGCCACGGGGAGTCGGGAGGGGGCGGGGCGGGCGAGTGAAAGTGGGTGCAGCCCGAGTGCTGGGGTGTTTGGACACCTGCCGAGAGGGTGTGATCATCCTCCGGGCGTCGTCCCCACTGCAGTCTGACAGCTGCGTGAGCCTGCGTCGGACGCAAAGGACAGGCAAGACCGCCCCTCGACACCCGTGGGGAGTTTCCCCACGTCTTCGGTTGCCCGCTGTCTCCGCCTTCTCGTGAGCAAATGTGGCATCCCACTCTTGACGTGCTCCTCCCGTGGGCTCTGCGCATAAAGCTAGCGCCGCGGCCATCGTGCTTAGACGTTCCCCTGCAGTCTCACAATGTAAGATAACCTCTGATCCTCCTCCCAATTTTAAGAGCAGATACAGGGTAATGGGTGAAGGCGCTTTTGGAGAGCACAGATTAAATTAAGTGGCTTGTTAAACCAAAGCTCTCAGCTCTGAACGTTGAAATTTGCATCCCAGGGGTAATGTTTTTCCCAAACTGTAATTTCATAATCACAGTTCACTGGAACTGCTCCAGTGGGTCTAGGTTCATTCCGGCCTCGGTGGCGGCGAAACCATCTGGGGTCCGGATGAACGCCGGCTGGGGTGACAGTGGCACCATGGGATCCCGGGTCGCCGCAAAGGTGGGCGCACCCCAGGGCGGCTGCCAGCCCTCCCTGCGCCGCCACTCTGGGATTTCCGCGTTAATTATGTTAAACCAAACAGACAAGTGGAACGAGGTGAACCCCCCCAAAGCAGGGTGTTCTCCAAACGAGGAGAAATCGCTCCACAGCGGCAGTGACCACGGAGGTACCCTCGTGCGAGGAGCTCCGTGGCGGGGTCTTTCCGGAGGTCTGGGGCGTCCTCTGCCCCCAGACACCTCTGCCCCACATAGTGACGATCTGAAGATCACTGGCCAGAGTCCTGAGCCACAGACGGGGGGAGCCGGGGGCTTTCGTGTCAGCCTCCTCTGGGGGAGTGAGCGAGGGCCCCAGGGTCACGAGCCCTGTTCACACAGTCGGGTCTCCTCCCCCACTCCCGGCCGTGAGCTCGGGGTGAGGGCAGGGCCAGCTCACCGGCAGTGCTGTCAGCCCAGGGGAGAGCGAGAGCGAGAGCACGCGGCTCCGAGTGACACACACGGCCCGTCCTCAGCGCGGGGGTGGGGGGCCAGCGGGACACGGGCCTGTGTCTGCGGTTTGCCCCACGTCCCTGAGCAACGGAGCGGCTGACCGAGAAGAGTCAGGAGCTCTGGCGACAGCTGTGACCAGGCCTGATGCCGTGTGCACCGCGGCGGCCGCCCACCCGGGACCGAGCTCCGCCTGGTGGACAGCTGCTGCCCCGGACTTCCGGCGAGGACGGGCGTCTCACCACCCGAGGCCTCGGGGGGGCTGGAGCTTGGGAGAAGCGAAGGGAGATCCGGTCATCGGGGTTCAGATGCCCATGTCAAACCGTCTGCAAACTCTACAAAAGTCCTCTGCAGCACCTGAAAGGAAGGAACGGTGTGAGCGTCCTCCTGCAACGCCGAAGCACACTCCGGAGAACTGGGGGCTGTGGGGGGCGGAGATGAGCCCAAGGGGCGAGCAGGTCCACCTGAGTCCCTGCGCGCCGGGCCGGGCGGGGGGCTGCCCTGGGCAGTGGTGCACCCATGCCGAGGAGCCTTCGTCCTCGTCTGCGGCTCCGGGAGGCACCCGTGGCTCCACGGTGACAGGGCCCGGGCGTCCAGCGGAAAAGGGCGAGTTTCACCTGCACTTCCAGTTCGTGGCAGCGACAGGAGCCCTTCGCGTGGCAGGTGCCAGAGAGCTGTGCCCCCTCGCCGAGCGGCACAGCCGTCCACCCCCCGCCACAGCCGCCCTCGCCCTCTTTGGGGCGTTCTCTCCCAGCGACCACAGGCTGTGCCCTGTGCGAGGGGCTGCACCCAGCAAACCTGCGCCCAGACGCTGCCCGTCTGCCCCCGTCGTGCTGGAGATGATGCACAGAGGCGCGCTGTGTCGGCGCTGCCGCTGAACCCCGTTCAGGAGGAGTGCGAGTCGGAGGGACGGAGACTCTCGGCGACACCAGACCCGGCGCTCGGGCGCCGCGGGCGGGAGCCTGCGCCGGGCAGGGCGAAGGGTGGCTGTTGGCTGCTGCTCCGTGTCCCCGCGGCAGCTCCTCGGTTGAACCCGGTCCCTCCGAGTGTCCGCGCCCGCCGCGCCGGTTGCAGGGGCTCCCAGAGGGAGCCCCCGTGTGTCACACCAAGGCTGATCCCCGCACTCGGCAGCGGGGAGACCGGAGCTGCAGACACCCGTCCGCTGGGGGCTAAGCCGGGAACTGAGGACGGGGCAGCGCTTCCCCTGACCAGGCCCCCGGTCTTCCTGCACCCCGTCCCGCCATTGGGGATCTGCACCACCCTTTCCTGTCGGCTGCCCAGCAGGGAGGCGGCGGATGGCTCAGGGCGGCGAGCCCCCTGGGGGGGCCCTGGAGAGGACAGGAGGGCCCAGGGAGCAAGGTGCGCGGGGTCCCCTTGTGAGCTCCTTTTCTGCGCCGCAAAGCCTGCCAAAGCATCACACAATTCGCTCGCTTTTATTGAAAGTTACATTTTCTTAATGCTCACCCGAGGATACGTGTGTTGGTTTTAGAGGGGTGGGAAGAAAGAGAGGGAGGGAGAAACATAAATCGGTTGCCTCCCATGCGCACCCCATCCAGGAATCAAACCTGCAACCTCCTGGTGCACAGGACGATGCCCCAACCCGCTGAGCTGCCCAGCCGGGGCTGAGGGTTCCATTTTAAACTCTCGGCATCTGGGAAGCGATCCAGGTTTACAAGGTGTCGGGGGATGAGCTTATTATTCTCAGGGGTGGCGGTGACGTCCCGGCTGTGCCCACGGGGACAGGGGCTGGGCTGGGACAGGCTGAGAGAGACCCCAAAGGCAGGTTTGCTCGCGTGGCAGAGTCCGAGGCACCGCACACACGCACCTTCCAGTTTTCTACACGTGTGAGGTTCTCGTGTCACAGCCCTGGAGAGCGGCGCTCCAGGTGACAGACGAACCGCCTGAAGTTCCCCTCACGCAGGAGAAAGCTGCTGCTAAGAGCAGGTGACGTGGTCGGCCAGACCCTCGCTTGCCGGAGAGTGGGTGGCACCCACTGCTGTGCACGGTGGGTGCTCTCACACCCGCCTGCCCGCCCGCTGGTCTGGGCGCGTCCCCGCAGCCGGCTCACATCTGGGCCCCCAGGACCTGCCCCCGAGCACGAGTCCAGGCCCCTGTGCCCCTCTGGCTCCCGCCCCCCAGCACGGCCCGGGACAAGGGACGGCCTCTGTCTAACGCACGTCGGAGGAGCCCCACAAATAGGTGGTCTGCAGGCGCCCTGTTCAGGTCTCTCGTGTTTGGGGACACGGAGGGAAGGGAGCGGATGTGAGCTTTACTCTCCGGACCTCAGTCTCCACCCCGCCGGACGGGCTCTCAGACTCGGATGGTCGGTGGCCCCGCGGGCCAGTGGGCGTCCCTGGGAGCTGGTGGAACCGCCCAGCCTCAGGGCCGCTGAGTCACTGTCTGCCTCCCCTAGCCCAACGCCTGCCACTCAGGCTCCGGGTCAGGTGTCTGAGCTCGAACCGCCGTCCTCTCTGGACGGAGCCCCGAGTCCACAGCTGGTGAATCCCCAAGTTCGTGAGCAGCCCGCGGGTGATGATGCGCTCTCTGCTCTCGTGATGGGCACCCCCCCCTTCCCCTCGCCGCCCGGCCATTTCCCGTGACCCCCGAGGGACCCGCCGAGCCTCAGGGGCTCTGCTGTGGTCGGCAGGCGCCTGCGTCCCGAGACAGCACAGGGGAAGGCTGAGTCGTGACAAACGAGACCTTCCGCGGAGACGGGGCCAGGGCACAGCGGCGGGAAACCTGCCTCCCAGGTCCCGCCTGCTTTGCAGGGTCCTGAGGGTTGGGGTCGACCAGAGCTGCCCTTTCTGAACTGCCGAGGACACTCCCGGCTGGCCAGGGGCCCGACGTGTGAGCAGCAGGGACGCATGGGGGCGGCGGGGCGCTTGGAGGGGGCGGCGGGGGCTGTCCCCCGCCTCTCATGCACCAGCACTTGACTTGCCAGGTAAACCCAAAGTGGTCACATCTGCCGCACTGTGGGCTGTTCGGTTCGCCCCGCTGTTGTTCACTTTTACGAAAAGTCCCCCCTGATTAGCGGGGATCACACGACTCCGACGCCACCCGTGGGTTCGCTGAGCCACAGCGCGCGCCCCGCGTCTGGTGAGCGCCGTGCGAGCCCCGGCGGAGTGGGCGCGCTGCGGTGGCGGGTGACGCGGCGCGGGGAGGGGGCGACGTGGGGAAACTCGAGGGCCAGTGCGGTCCCCGCGGCAGGGCCTCGCGTGCAACCTGCCTCGTGTCCGCATCCCCGCCTGCGCCTGCGAAACCTCGCGCCGCCCCACCGGGCCGTCCTTGCCCAGGGCGGCCGGACGCCATCCAATGGCATCAACTGAAATAACATACGAAGAGGGTCTCCTGGGCCTCCGCCTCCGCACGGAGGGAGCGGACTCCGGGGGGTGGGGACAGGAGTGAGAGAGGCCCTGGGTCTCCTCCGCGCCCCCCGCGGCCCTCGAGCCCCTCCCACCACCCGCACCGAAGCCGTGTGTGCGCCCAGGAGAACCCGCTGCCGCAGAGACCGGCTTCCCGAGGGTGGGGGTTCCCCGCACCCAGGGGGGCGCGGGCTCGTCTCCCACGTCCCTCCTGAGCCGGGACTGAGAAGCACTTGTTTCGCGGGCAGTACATTTGGGGCGTCCGTCTCCGTGCCCTGCGCCCCCTCACCGCGCGTGGTGCTCCAGCTTTTGCTTTTCCTTTTCCGTGACGGCCTCTCCACCCGCTCGTTTGTCTCTCCCGAACAGTTCTCGGCAAAATCCGGAGCGCCGTGGGCAGCGCGCAGCTCCTGATGTCACAGAAGTTCCAGCAGTTTTACTGGCTGTGCCAACAGAACATGGTGAGTGAGCGCCGCCGCCCCGGCCTGTGCCAGGCTCAGCGCTCCCTCCTGACACGCTCTCTGCCGCCAGGCCCCCGCCGCTGGGGCTCAGCGGGGTTGGCGCCTGCCCACACCACCACAGGGTCGCGGGTTCAACTCCCAGTCAGGGCGCATGCCTGGGCTGCAAGCCAGGTCCCCAGTAGGGGGCACGCGAGAGACAAAGACACACTGATGTCTCCCTCCATCTCTTTCTCCCTCCTTTCCCCTCTCTAAAAATAAACTTAAAAAAAAACTTAAAAAAAAAAAAAGATGCCTGATTGCAGATAGTCGCAGGAGGACAGGATACGCCCAGCCCCAGCTGTGGACGGCTCGGAGCCCCAGAGGCGGCAGGAAAGGGCGGTGGTGGAGGGGGCGGGGCCTGCAGGGGCGGGGCCTGCAGGGGCGGGGCCTGCAGGAGCGCGGGGCCTGCAGGAGCTCGGCGCCTGAAGGCCTCCGCTGGAGCTGCTGCCGTCGCAGCGGGACTGGCTGCGCGGAACCAACTAGAGTAAACTGCTGTCGTGGCGAACGTCACACGTGAAGACAACGATATGAGGTGGCTTGAAAGAAAATGCACAAGGAACACATTTAAGGAGGTTCTAGGAGTAACGGGGGCTTTCTAGGTGACAGCAGCGAAATGCGTGCACTGTGGGAGGAACTCTGGCCCGCAGAGCTCCCCCTCCGCCGAGGACGGGAAATACGTCGTGCCGGACCCGGTCTTGCTGTCCCCGCGGGGAAGGGGCGGAGAGTCCCTCCAGTGGAGAGCGCCCCGAGCCCTTCTCCCAAACGGCTTTTCCTGGGAGTGGTGTGTGTGGGTGCATACGTGCATAGCTCATCAGTCAGCGTCAAAAGGCTACAGTCATACAAAAACAGGTATTACCTACGGAAAACAGTGGAGGGAACACAGAGGTTTGTCATAGGTCAGGGTCTGTTAGTCACGCTGACACCAGGGGGTCTGTAAGACGTGTGAGGTAAGGAGTTTACTCCTTGGGCCTTGAATCTAAACACCTGGTTTATATCACCAGGGCAGAGCAAGCCTCACAGGATACAATGTATTTATCGGGCCCGATTCCCACGGGAACCCTCCGTGTTGGTGACCGGTGGTGCCTGCCACCGTGCTTCTACTTGGTTTTCCAGGGACACTTACCAGCCCCTTTCAGGGCTTGCTCCCGTGGGGCTGCAGTCCCCAAAACCGCAGAGTGGTCCCCAACAGTGTACCGTTGAACTGGATCAGTTAATACGGTTGGCCTTGAACGTGGTTCTGATCCCCCTGGCAATGAGCAGGAGGGGAAAACCGTACATTTCCACATGCACACACACAGATTCACGTCTGCGTGTGCTCACTTACTGGCACGAGTCTGAGTGTCTGTGCATCTCCTTGCCCGACTGAAGAAAAGCATGCGCCGACTGGTGTCTGGGGAAATAACTGGACGGCACTGACGTTGCCGTCCAGGCCATTGTGCAACCCATGCCAGCCGGACATTTCCATTAAAATGCAAATAGCTCCCTGCCAGGCCTCGGGCGCCCTCTGCTCCGTGATTCGACCGCGGTTGGCTCTGGGTCTTTCGTTTGCAAGGAGACAGCGCATTTACCGGGTGATCGTACACGTCAGGGGAGGCCCGCACCTCCGAGTCGGCGATCCGCCCCTTTGCGTCAGGACCGCGTAGAAGGACGCTCTCTCCGACATTTCCCAGCTCGCCCTGTGCAAGTGCACCAGGACACCTGCCCCATGACCAGCACCCGGCTCTGGCGTGAGGTCACAATCAGTGTGTCGAAGGGGGAAGTGGAGCTCGGAATTCCCGGACAGGAACGGCCCCTGGAGGAAGGTCACGCTCTCGTGTCCCCCGGGCGTGTCCCCATAGTCGCCATCTCTGAAGGGGTCGGCCTGTGCCCCGCTACCCCGGCCACAAGGGCTCGGTTCTGAAGCTGCCTCCCGCAGCAGGGGGACATTGCTACGAACGGCCCCTGTTCTCTCCGCCAGAGCGGCTGACGTCGGACCTAACGATCCCCTCCTGGAGCCTTCAGTGCCTCGTGCCCACGTCAGCTCTCACCTCACGTTGACCTGCAGAAACCCTCTGGGTTCGGAGCATCTGCCGTGGCGGCTTCCCTTCCCTTGGTGTCTGTCGAGAATTAGACCCCCCAAACCACCCAGAATCAATTGTTGGGGAGCTTGGCGGGGTGGGCGGGGGTAGGGGGCTCAGGCCGTCTGGCGGGAGAAGCGCTCAAACTGCGGGTGGCCACCGCCTCTTCCAACCACACTGCCACGGCCTCCGCCGCCGCCTTGCTGGTGGCTGGGAGCTGTAGGTGGGTAACTAGTGTTAAGTCAGATAAATGACCCTAGAAAAACGCCCCCCACCAGCCTGAGAGTTCCAGCGCCCTGAATGGAGTGCGCACTCTTCACGGGAAGGCGTGTGGGGAACTCATCTCGGGACGACCCTGGGGGGCGTCTGCCCCAGAGCACGGGGGCACACGTGTGCCTCTGCGGCCGAGGCGCAGGGCCCCCCGGGGGGCCGTGGCAGGAACCGGAACTGCGAGCACACCTGCTGGGCCTCACTCCGCGGAGGCAGCTGATCCGTGGGGGCCGGGCAGGCCTCCCAGCCCTCAGCACGCTTCCGGCTCTCGGAGAAACCAGAGTCCTCTCTGGCCGGGTCCCGGGGGCCAGACGAGGACTCTGATGCCGCCCGGCTGTGCTGGGGCAGGGCCGTGGCCAGAGGCCTTGACGCGCAGGGAACCTGGATGCCTGGTAGGGCCGACGGGCCACCTCCCAGGTCCAGGCTGTGCCTGGCTACGAAACACAACGCCGCCTCTGCTCCAGGGAGCCCTGGGGGCAACGGTCTCGTCAGCCTGGCGGAGTGACAGACGTCTGCCCGCAGGGGACATGCACCTGGACGCAGACACTCTGATGCCCAGCTGTCCATGTCTGGGACTCGCCAGCAGCAGCCCACGGCAAGGTCACACCCAAACTGATAAAAAGCAGCCCGTCCTTGCACACTGGGCGTCTTTCAGAGGAGCACACGGCCAGGTGCCCCAAGGCTCAGACTGGGATGCAGCCTGCCCTCGTCCGTGACCTTCCAAGGACCGCGGGGACCGGCGAGGGCCGCGGAGCAGACTCACTGGAGGGAGAAGAGAGCCTGCGGCTCCGGCTGCGACGGGCCGCGGGCGCCCTCTGGTGGCTGATCTTGGGAACAGCCTCAGGCACAGAAACGCTAGTCCCCCGCTCCTGGACGCCCTGCGAAGGAGGGGTTGGGGCTCAACGGCGATCCTTTCCACGTGGATGCGAAGCTAGGCTCCTAGAATCTGAATGTCTGTGTCCCCAGATTCCCGTGCTGAAATCCGGACATGGAGTCGGGGGGGGCCCTTAGGGGGTCACCAGGTCATGTGGGTGGAGCCCAGTGATGGGGTGACGCACCCCACAGAGCCCCCCCCCGCCTGGGGGAACAGACAGTGGGGGACATCGTCTGTGCACCGGGAAGAGAAACCCCCAGAGCCAGAACCCGCCGGCCCCAGGCTGGCAGGGGCCCTGTCTGGGCTTGCTGGGCCGTCTGCCCTGGGCCTGCCCCTGCCACCCCCGCTGACAAAGCACAGGTTGTCGGAAGCTGAAACCAAAGCCAGCTGAAGTCCCTGTTGTGCTCAGCGTGAGCGGCTTATGAGTGAGCTGAAAATCGCACATTGTGAGCCGATTCAGATAAGCACTTGCCCACGAGACATTCCTGTTCAGTGAGAGGGACCCTCACCGCACCACGGAGCCACGGGTCCGAGCCCCTCAGCCCAGGCTGCAAACGCACGCACCTTCGAATAGGTCAGGAGCCACAGCGAAGTGGCCCGAGGCCGTGGGGCCCTCGAGGCGGCCTGGGGCCGTGGCACTCAGCCAGCTGAACGGCATCCGTCAGGCTGTGGGTGGAGGACGAGACATGTCCTCGGGCCACGCACAGCCCACGGGCTGCCGGCCGGCGGCTCTGCAGCATCACCCGGCCCCTCGGAGTGCCCGGCAGCAGTCCGAGAGATCGCCGGTGCCTTCGTCATGAGCCACCGGTCCTCTCTCCGCACGGGCATCGCTGCCATCACCGTGGAGCTGAGGCGCAGAGCTGGCCCACCGTCACGGCCACGCCACGGACCGCAAGAGGGCCCGCACTGCGCCCATCGGGCCAAACCACGGGCCCGTGGCTTCTAGGAAGTGTCGAGCGTGGGGAAGCTTTCCTGTTTGCCGCCGTGCCCGGGTCCTACGAGGGCATTTTCAGAACGAAGCCATGAACAAGCACGGCGTGTGTCTACGTTTAGTAGGCTTCATTTTTTAGAGCAGCCGTAGGTTCACAGCCAAGTGGAGGGGGCGTGCAGAGGTTTCTCACACCCCTGCCCTCCCCCCACAGGCTCCCCACCAGCAGCACCCCTACCAGACGGGATGAACCCGCGCTGACACGTCAGTGTCCCCCAGAGTCCGCAAGTGACATCAGGGCACCCTGCGTGCTGCACATTCTGTGGGTTCGGACAAGTGCACGATGACACGTGTCCACCATCACAGCGTCTCACAGAGCAGACTCCCTGCCCCAGACCCTCTGGGCTCCCCTGTGCACCCCTCCCCCCACCCCCACGAGAACCCCTGACCTGTCCCTGTCCCCACAGTCTCGCCTTCTCCGGGACGTCCCAGAGTTAGAATCACACAGCGTGTGGCCTTTTCCTGTTTAAAACCGTCAGCAAATACTTGTTAAAACTGCTACGGATCCTGCGGGCCCTTGGGAATATTTATCTGAATTGGAATTCAGCTCCTTCCTGACCCAATCCTGAAAAGACGCCCCGCCCCGCCCCCACCTTCGCCGGTCTCCGAGCCCCGCCCCCGCCCCGCCCCCGCCGTGGCCAGGCCCTGAGCCCCGCCCCCGCCCACGCCGTGGCCCGGTCCTTACCCGCCACCCCGCCGTGTGTCGGTCCGCAGGACCCCAGCGCCATGCCCAGACCCACCTCCCAGGACCTGGCCGGCTACTGGGACATGCTGCAGCTCTCGGTGGAGGACGTCAGCATGAAGTTCGACGAGCTGCACCAGCTGAAGCTCAACGACTGGAAGGTGGCAGAGTCTCCGGACAGGAAGGTAACCGCGCCCCGCGGGCCGCCTCCCCCCGCGGGGCTCTGCAGGCTCCCCCCTCCCAGGCAGCGCGGCGTGTGCACGTGTTCGTGTGTGCGTGTGCGTGCACACGTGCGAACGTGTCCTTGTACACGTGGGCACATGTAAACTGGGGCGCGGTTCAAGTCACGGGCAATACTCTTTCCGGCCGCGTCTCTGGGGCGCGGACGATCTGGGGAAGACGCGACCCACGTCACGCGTAGTTTCGTTACGCGGCGGGGTCCGTCCTCGGAGTCACTGTCCGCGGGCTCCCCGGGTCGTCCCAAGGTTCCCGCGGAGTCCCAGGGCCGCCGCCCCCCTCCTGCTCAGACAGACCTTCCACCTGGGTGTCTGCCTGGAGGACGAGACCCTCCGAACTGCGCCCAGCGGTTCGATTCCGGACCCTCCCGCCATCCGTCGCGCCAGCCCTAAAAGGGCTGAAACTCCCCGTGAAGCGTGAACCCTGTGCTTCTACTTTCCCCCCTTGGGGTGTCATGGTCAGTAGGGCCCCAGAGAGAGAGGGGTGTATTAGCAGCACATGCAGTGGCTTCCCAACGTCCTGTAGAGAAGCCGAGAGCAGCCCTCACGGGGTTTCCCGGCAGACATCGTCAGGGCAGAAGGATGCGGACGACCAGCCCCGCAAACTCCAGGGCGGCAGGGTGTAACTCTCCGCCGAGGGCGCGCACCCAGGCGGTCGGCAGGAGCCTGCGGCTGTCCCCGGCTCCCGCCCCCAGAGGGGGGCGCCGCCGGCCCGCGCAGAGCCAGGCTGGGTGCACAGGGGCCTCCTAGCCAGTCCTCCCCAGCGGGCAGCACAGGGTGTGGGTCCGCCATAAGCCAGGAACGCACATCGGAGCCCCCAGGTGACCCCCCCGGTCACTCCGAAGTGAGGGGGCGTGAGCAGTGAGTGTGAGTGAGAAGCTCGGTGCTTTCTCGGGACCCCCGGGAAGGAGCGTTTTCGTGAACCCCTTAGCACCGGAGTCCGGTCCAAAGGGGGTGACCCGCGGCAGGGTGCCCGGCACCTTCCGAAACACTGGGCCCTGGAGACCTGGGGAGGGTGGGTGTGCGCCCAGGTGAGTGGGCCTGGCAGGGCCACGTCCGGGTGGGTGTAAGCCAGGGGAGATGGAACTGCGAACGCGCAGAACTCGCTTCTTCACCTGCAGGCGCTGTGCCCAGCGCCCCCCTCCGCCTCCGGAGGCGTTGCAGGGAAGTGGCAAGGGCATCCCCCCGCCCGCCTGCGCGAGGCGGAGCAGAGGCCTCCCTGGGTTGGGTAGCAGGGCCGGTTTGAGTGCCCAGCCCCTGGCCTGGGCGACCTTGTGGACGCCCCCAAACTGGGTGCCACTTGTGATGCTTTCCAGGAGGAACGGAAGGCCCCCCCGCCAATACCAAAGAAGCCCCCCAAAGGGAGACTTCCGGTCACGCGAGAGAAGTCCCTGGACCTGCCCGACAGGCAGCGGCAGGAGGCCCGCCGACGCCTGCTGGCCGCCAAGCGCGCTGCGTCCTTCCGCCAGAACTCGGCCGGCGAGCACGCGGACAGCATCGAGATCTACATCCCGGAGGCGCAGACCCGGCTCTAGGGCCGCCGCACCGCCCCCGCCCTCCCCCGCGGCCCTCCCCACCCACGCCTGTGCAGGTGGCCCCCTCCCCCCATCCTGTGCCGTCTGCCCGCCCTCGCCATCCGTCCTGGGTGCTGCTGGTCTCCGGGGCCCGCCGCGCCCGCCGCCAGAAGGACGTCTTTTTTACTCAGCGGATGTCTGACTCACAGCCGGCCGTGGGGGCGGGCTGGCCGCTCCCCTCTCCGGAGAGCGGGGCTCGCCTCTGGGGGTGGGAGCCGGCTCACCTTTTGTTATTTCTATTTTTTATAAACTGTGAGATAATTAGAGGCGAGAATAGCAAACGAGTACAAACGGGTGCATCCCCCACTCCCTAGAGCGTTAGCCCCCCCACACACACGCACAGGCGCCGCAGACACTGCAGCTTGAAGGGCAGGGGCGATGGACCCCCCCACCCTCCACGCCGGCCTGGGGCTGCTCCCCCCAACCCAGCTGACCCATCACTAGGTTCTGTGGGCCAAGTTCACGGTAAGGAGAAGTCGTCTGTCCAGCCGCCGAGCTCCCCACCACCTGCTTCTGCGTCACTCAGGGGCCCAGGCCTGACCCCTGGGGAACGCCCGCACCATCAAAACGTAAGTGAGGCGTCCCTCCCCACGAGCCACCGAGGGGCGACGAGCCAGGCGGGGTCTTGGGGGAAGCCGGCACCTCGGGGGCCTGCGTGCGGACCGCCACCGCCGTCCTGACTCCGGGGAGGGGTCGCCGTGGGTCCCTTTCCTCGTGACTCCAGAGCCCCCCCACAGTCCGTCCTTCGGTCCCACCGTGTGGTTTTTTTTATAGATGTGTGTATATATTCTCAAACGGCTCTATCAGTTGACTTTTCAGGGTACCCTTAAAAACACAAAACAACAGAAAGTTTGCCTGTCCAGAGGACAGCCGCGGTGTCGGGGAAAGTTTGAGAACTTGAGTGTGGGCGGGGCGTCTGCCCGGGTCTGAGCGGGGCGGAGCCGCAGTCCGGGCGCGCGCCCCGCGTCGGTTCCCGCTGCTTCGGACGGCGCCCGCGAGGAGGGCGCCCTGCCCCGCCGCGGGCTCGGCCACGTGGGTCTCCGTGGCTCCGGTTGGCACCAGGGCACGGCGGGGAGGACGAAACCAAAGGCTTCGTGTGCGCAGTCGAGTCACGGCTCCCGAGGCAGAGCCCGTCAGCGTGTCGGTCTGGCCCCGCACCCAGAGCCCGCCCCGTCACTCGAGGCGCAAGCGGCCCTGTCTTCCGCCCGCCCCGCCGCTGCTCCGCGCAGGGCCCGCCCGCAGAGCCGCGCCCCGGCCCCTTCTGTAGCACTTTGTCCCCCGCCCCCCACCCGAGACTTGCACTTTAAGCGGCGCCCAGCTCTCTCTGCACCGGCCGCCCGGCGGAGCGGCGCGGCGAGGCGGCGGCCGGCCCTCGGCAAGCCCGCGGGTCCTCCCCCCTCCATCCCACCGCGCATGGGGCTCGTCCGGGGCACAGCGGACGCTAAAGCATGTCTAGCTTCAAAGTTTTACTTTTTTAAAGCCGAGTAGTCACGAATTCCCTGTAAGAACAACACCCTGTACACGGAACCTCATACCCAGTATATATTTTACCAAACAGCCTTAAAATATATTTGGAAGCAAAAATCAGTACGAATGTATATCCTTGAAAAATGCAAAAAAAAAAAGTTTCCCTGAAATATTCTTCTATAACGAACCCTATTTCCCCAGAGTGTTCAAAGCATTTTTTTCTACCTAAATAAATACCTGAATCCCGGGTAGCGTCCCATGCGATGCTTCTCCCTGTGCTCACTACAGTATGTCACAAACACGTGTGTGTGCGAGTACTGGCATTGCAGACTTCAAAGACGGACTCTTCGCGACGACCGGCCCTCGGGGGGCCACCCACGGAGAGCCCCGCGACGTGGGTTCCCGGCAGAGGAGTGAGAACCCCGCCGTGCCCGCCGGCTCCCACGCGGGCCCCCCAGGTCTTCTCCCCTGTCCTTCCTCCTGTGCACAAACGCAACAACAAATTATAAAATTAGACAATAATTATTTATCTTGGATCCCAGACTCTCTCATCCCGACTTGAAGGAAAGTATTCGCTGGATTGGGATTCACTTTTTTTAATGTTTTGCACAGTCATTTTTATCCTAAACCACCGCCCCCGCAGTCTTGGCCTCACCCACCCCCTCAGCTCCATGACAGCAGCCACGGACTGGAGGTGGGGAAGGTGGAGGGACGCGCTAGGCCCGCCGAGTCCCAGGGGAGGTCGCGGCCGGCGGAGCGGACGCCGGACCCGAAAGAACGTGACCTGCGCGCGCGCGACATGACCCCGCGCAACGGACCCCGTTCCCGCGCCGCGACCTTCCACCCCCGATGCAGAGATAAGCCATGTTTACATATTTATATGTAAAGACAAATAAAACCGTTTAGAATACTCGTGGTAGCCAGCGCAGCGCATTCATTTCTAGCAGGCGCAGGGTTCTGGGCTGGAGGGCGGTCCCTCCGGCACCGCGGCAGCCGGGCCCGCGTAAGGGGTCGCGCGAGCGCAGGAACCGGACCCGAAGGCTGGCCAAGCCGGGCGAGGCGGCCGGCGCTGGTTACGGTGTGATGCGTCTCCCGCCGGCGCGTTGGGTGTCCCGTGTTGAACGGGAGGGAGTTTCTCTCGTTGTCATGTTCCCGCCTTGTTTTCCTCAGCAGGCTCGTGTGCCGGTCCCAGAACCGCAATCACAAATCTAAGGCTCACATAATACCAAAAAAAAAAGAAAATCACACTTGTGTTTAGAAGAAAGTGTGATTAATGTTTTCACCTCAAGACCGATGCTAAAGACTTGCAGCATTAAACAGAACCATCTATTCTTAGGAAAAGTAAACAGATCTCCTTGAACTTCCCGCTTTTAGAAAAAATGGCCCCGAGGGTGGGGACCCGAAATGCAGAGGGAACCTCGGGGCAGGCTCCGGGGCCGCGGCCAAGGTCCCGTGCCACAGACAGCGCGACTGACTGCAGCTCTGGTTCCTGCCTTTCCCGGCCGTGCGCAGCCGCCACTGCCCCCCCCCCACCACCTTCGTCATCAGGTGTCCACCCAGGTGGCCCGTGTTTGCTGGCCCTGGGGGCCCTGCCGCCCCGCCCCCCGGGGTGGACTTCTGCTGGGACTCCTGTCAGAGCGACCACGGAGCCGCCCTAGCGTGCTGGTTTGGGCACACCTGGGGGGGGGGGCGAGTAGGGAGGGGGCAGAGGGAGGAGGATGTCCGTTCCCACTGGCTGTGACTCACTCCGTCAGACCGGCCTGGGGCCAGGGACATGGAGGACCAGGGGCACCCCAGGGAGACGCCGCCAGCAGCCTGGTCCGGAGCTCTGCCAGGTTCTCGGAATCTCCGAGTGCCGCATCTGGGGTCTCCGGCGCCCGTGGGTCCCCAGGCCCCGGGGGCAGCTCACAGAGGGGCAGCATGACTGGTCCCCACGGATGGGAGCGCATCGCCGGGGCACCCCAGCCAAGGGGTGCGGTGTCAGGCCCCAGGAGCAGGCCTGAACGGTCCGTTCCGCGTGTCCCCCGAGTGCATGCGCCTTCCTGCCTCCTCTGTCCTCAAGGCCCCTTCCTAACTCCCTCTTCACCGAAGTTCAGCCCGCTGGTCGGGTCGGGCCTGTGCCACACACACCCCTCGGAAGTTGCCGAGGGCTCTTTGTTTTTACCGGCACCTTTGTTCACACCGGATTGAAAGTTTTGGTGGAAAATGGTTCCAAACCGTGACCATGAGGCAGAAGGCCTCAGGTGAGTGGCTGGCTGCCGGCCAGCGAGCGGCTCAGCCCCGGGGGTGGGGCCGGGGATGAGCACTCAGCGCCCGGTGCTCCATCCCTGGATGCCTCCGTCTCCGTGCCGGGGGTCGCGTCTGCCTGTGCCCCTGCACCTCCACGGCAGGAGGGCGTCGGCAGTTGCCATACTTTGCGGCCATGGAGACCCGACGATAGGCTGGGGCTCGCACGGCGGCCTTTCCCACCGCGGGCGGAACGCCCGGCAGCACGGTGGCCGCAGAACGGTCTGGGGGTGCACCACGGGGTGCCCAGAACTCCCCAGCCCAGCCGGCCGTCAGACCACAGGGTGTCCGGTTGCAGGTCAGTCAGCCACAGAACCCCGAGGCATGGCGCCCCTGTCCCCGGTTCTGGCCACAGAGCGTGCAGATCAGCAACGCCCAACTCCCAAGTCCTCTGTGCACCTGGGGAGCAGGTGGCTCCTCGAGGTGCCCGGGTCCCCTTCTCAAGTGCCGCCCTCCCACGGGTGTGGGGTGCAAGGTCAACTCAGGCCACAACCCCTCGGAGTTAGGGCCAGCAGGCTCGGGGTCCCTCTGCAGAGTGGGGTCTCAGCCCCAGCCCACGGCGGACCAGGGGCTTGAGGGCATGGGGGTGGAGAGGCACCCTCGGGCCGCCCCTCGGTGCCTTCTGGCTGAGATCTCACATGTTTCTAGCTGCTTCCGTGAGCGAGAGGCAGGTGCCAACAGGAATTAGGCGATGCTTCCACTGCACGTGAGCTCAGCAGCGTCGGAGTGGAAACGAGGGGTGTGCAGCTGGACGCTGGCGGGCGGAGGAGAGGCGGCCTGAAGCGGAAAGCTGGGTGCGGCTGACAAGACGCGCTGCGGGCCACGAGATCCGGCCTCTCTCCAGCCCTCGGCCACGGCGCGTCCCGCTGCAGAGCGCGAGGTTCCATGGGGGCGAGACACGGGCCAACGCCACCCACGGTGCCCACCGCTGTCCCAACCCCGGCGTGCCTGCCCCGCGCGGAGGGGACGTATGTTGAGTCTCCGTCCCGACCCCCGGCAGAGGACTGCTCCGCAGAGGGAACGCCGGCCACCTCCCGCACCCTGGCTGGCGCAGCCCTGACCCTAGCCCTCCCCGAACGCTGCTTTTTAACAGATTGTGTACCCACTCACCCAGAGGCGCAGGGGATCCCGCCCTACTCTCTTGGGTTTTCCGTGACTCCCCATCACGGGTGCTTATTCCGAACCCAGTGTCCAGGAGCCCAGCTCCCACCTCCGGGCTGGAGGGGCAAACAGTGGAGGA